TATATATATATAATGTGCATGTATACACGATATACTTGCATACATATAAACACATCTGTGCCCAGCGTTTTCCATGTTGCTCGCAACCCGGGACATGCAGCATTTAGCCCAGCACTGCTCTGCTGCCAGAGTTTTCCTAAGGCCTGGAAACGAGCAGCCATCCCCTTGCAGCAGCTCTGCACAGTGACAGGCGGCTAGAGTCACACTTTGCCTTTGGAAAGCAGGGGGAAAAGAATGAGTAATCATTTTGTTTGAATTGCCATAAGTATGAAATATTTCTCTGGAGGCAAAAAATATCTTGGAAAAGCAGAAAGGTATTCTTAAATGGCTGGTCAAAGTAGGAGCGTTGTTGCATTGTTGTGCTTCTTTCTTAAAGGGAAGCAAGTGTTGGGGTTTCAGAACGTTTCATTCATAAGTGTATGAAATGAGCATGCATACTGATAGCACTGTTATGAGAATTTAAACTAGTAATTAAAAATGAAGTAACTGTAATTACCTGCTTCTGGTTTAATAAGTGTAATTTGTCTTTGATGTTTGGAAAGCCCTGCCTCCCCACGCGGAGCCCAGCAGCCTGGGTATTGGAAGGGTGAAAATCTTACAAAGTTTCATGTGTTGCCATCAAGGTTCTTTTTTGTAGCCAATTTGCATTTTAGTTTTGTAACATTTTGACTGTTGAAGCCATTATGTCTGTGGATACTGATTGCATAGTGCTTTTAAAGAGGCAGAGTGCTGTTGGGGAAAAAGTCCTCTCTCTCCCTTCACCCCTTGCTAAAAATGACAGTGGGTTTTGTTTTTGTTTTGTTTGTTAGTTTTTTTCCTTCTGAGGGACACTCTGATTTGAAACCTGTTATTGTCTTTGAAATTTTCTTCTTTAAAGTAGAACTGTTTTTTAAGAAAAAAGCGAGTGTGCTGGCTATCTCTTCCTGGGTTAACTTCTTATTTTCACTTAGAAAATTTCTTTTCAGCTGGAAAAATGTTTTAAATTATAGCCATTTTTAAAAAAAAATAATAAAATTGCTCCTAGGAAGCAAAAATACTGTGGGAAACCTGTAATTTAGACAAGTACCTATATTTTACTTGCTTTGTGCTGCTGAAATTTAGAATCCCTTCCCATTTACAGTTTACTTTTCACAGAACATTATTAACTTTTTGGCTTCATACATGATCTTCTGTCAGATGCTTTTGATTTGTAATTTAGCAAAGTATAATAAACAGTGCAAAAGTCATGAATTTTCCTCCGCATCCTGAGCTCTGTGGTAGGGAAAATGTGATAAAATGTGTACCTTAAGTCTTGTTTGATGATCTCTCAAAGCAAGTTTGCCTTCTGGAAATAATTTCTGGGGTTGAAGAGCATGGTATTAACAGATTTAATGTGGCTATTCAATGGATTGGTGGAGTACTATGTGAGGTTTAACAAAATGAGAGAGACAAATTGAACATCAACAAAACCTACATCTGTGAAGAATTATAAATTTAATTAGAAAAAAGGCAAACTTAAAAGACCTCATTTACTAATCAGAATTTGATGTTACTGATTAAAGAATCTTAAATGGATGAATTTTAAGTAGCTTTGCTATCTTCATACTTTTTTTCATGTACTGCATCGTGCCCGGATCTGCAATCTCTATTAAGGAGCAAGATGTGAACGTTACTTACAACAATCAGATTATGCACTTTAGTATTTTTAAGGTACAAAGGAGAAATTGCATGTCATTTAGCATATATGGCAATATTAGTTTCAGCAGAGCGCAGTGTATGAAGGGTGAGTGACAACTCCTTTTTTTTTTTTTTTTTTTAAATGTGCCCCTTTGGCTGGCCAGGTGAGGCCATTGCGTGTGCACACACACACACACACCTTTTTCTTTGACATGTGAGTTATGTTGCAGAACTTTAATTATCCAGAAATCTGTTGGCAAAATGGGAGAATGTATGAGAGCAAGCACTCGCCACCCAGAAATGTTTTTATTCTATGAACTGGTTGTCATAAGTGTGGTTCCTTACTACCTCATAATTTTGTACTACACATAAAAAACTGAAAGCATGTGAAGTGTAGCATTTTGTAAACTGTAACTAATTTCTCTCACATCTGTGTCTAATTGTTGTCTGCATTCGCATTCTTGAGAGTAGATTTATTTTTCCTGGACCACTCTGTGGATTCAGCTGACCAGCCTAAGTGAGGATTAGTTGTTTTAAAGTTATTTTGATTAAAGAGTCATTTTTAAATACGGTAACGTACAACATATGGTTTAAATAATCCTTAAGACACAAAAGAATATATTTAAAATGTCTAATGAAAATGAAGACTGTGAATATGAACTTTCAGAAATCATAGAGTGTTAGGGGACATATAATGTACATATTTAATTCGCTTTGAATGAGCTGTGTTGTTGTGGGTTTTTTGGTCCTCTCCCACAAATCTGTGAATGGAATCTCACTATACGCACATGTACGTGTATCTGTACATATGTATTTGTAAGTGTAGGG